TATAATATTTTATTTTATAGTTTAAGAATAAACTTCATATTGTAATTTATTAGGTGAACAATATTCGTAATATATTAGATTATTACACRGAAAATAAAAATTCTAATTTTTAAAGGCAGAGAGAAAAATGTTTTGTCGTAATAACTCGAATACTCAATAGTATTAGTCTATAGTATTTGCCTATTGACAATTTTTTTTAGCCTTTCTTTACTTTTCAAAAAATTGAAATTCACTTCCCCGAATTAAACCATTAAAGTACCAACCTATAAAATTCAAATTTTTTTTTAGTTTCTTCATTGATTGCTTCTTCAGCACTAATCAAAATGTGTATTTGATAAGATTGTCCATGATAATAGAAAATTTATAGGTAATATTTTAGTATAAAACCGATCCGTGCGGCGTGCTTTATACTTATAATCTATTGGCTATTATTATTTCTTAAAACTTATCGGAAGTAGGGAAATGTATTATTGTATGATTATTAATTACTCATTAGCGTAATAATGTGCCATCTGTTGGAGCTGATAAATTTAAAAGTTCACACATTTATTTTTGTATATGTTTTTTTGAAACGCCTTGAGACTACTAAAAACACTTTCTAAGACGAATATTTTATAAAAATTTTAAAATGGCCTGTAGGGGGACATGACACCCACGTCCCCCTTGTATACGCCCCAGGGTACCTTACWCTTGTAAGTCAAGACTCAATAGTGCTCAACATTTTAAATATTAAATTAATAAAATTATTATCTACTTACACAAACCAGAACAACTATGATTATTTCAGTAGGTGTATTTTTATAAAATCCGATAAAAACGAATTATTTGGACCCGATTTCAACCAATTCGATTTTCATTCGAGTACGTATTAAATTACGTTTATAACTACAAAACTTGAGACTAATCATGWACAACTTTYGAAGGAGTGAAAGAAGTACATTTAAGAATGACTCGAATAGTGGTATACTGGTATATAATATGTGTTGTGTTTAGGTATTGGGTACTTAAGCTAACGTGTTGAATGGGAAACTAGTCTATTATCGATAAAATCACTAATTATTAATTAGTATTGTACTTTTACAGCGTACTACTCGTAAAGTAACTTCGTAATTGGAATATAAAATATTGTTATATTATTAGTCTAAAACTAAAAAAAAACTTAGATAAAAAGTTATTTTCAAACACGACTACATTTTTATTGTACCTACACAGTACACATATTTTCTACAAAAACTAAATTTGGTAATTAAGTAAGATTATAATATTTAAATTACAAGCTGAGGTACGTACAATAACTAGTCTATCTAATCTAATTATTATATTAGTTATCAAAAAGCGTTTAGTCTCTATTGTAAAACTCCCATCGTGGAATCTACAAATATACTATATTCATTAAAAAAACACGATTAAAGATATTTTAACTATGTTAGCGAACGTTTTCTGCAAAACTATATTGTTTTCTTTTTTTTCATTTGTAATTTTTTTTACCAAAATTCAAACATTTTAGATCTCAATTATTTTTTATATACGCAATATTTATAGAACTATTATACTAAAATGTATTAATGTTATAATATGCCACATTTAATATAGTTTTCATTGGAATTATTTAGGTATTTYAAATTTTATCAAAATAAAACAAACTACCAAACTAGGTACCTAATATAATATAGATAGATATAACACAATTTAACTGTTCATTAAATTACAGATATATTACTATTGTAAGACTTTAACTCCCCAAAAAATAGCCACTAATTAAATATGTTGTATAATACTATTCTATTTATAATTAATGCAAAGAAAAATTAATTAAATATTATGCACCCAAATATAGTGTAGGTACATAACGTTAGAATCTTATCACACCGTAGATTATGGTGATTCTGCAGATTATCATACATATTTAATTTTTAACATTATGTACTGCTTTCAAACCCAAAACTTACAATACTTTTGATTGTTATTTATTATCATGAAACAAGTAAATGAMGATTTGTAATAATTATTTTATTCGAGGCTGAGATCATCGAAATTTTATAAGTAGTCGTTGTCATTGACGAAACAAGTTCAGTTWAATTATCGACTTTGCAACGTGGTTTAAATATTTCTACGTTTAAAATTTAAAAAGGATTAAGTAATATTATAATAAAATTATTGCATTATAAAATTTTTAATTATCTACTCTATGTACCTATAATCTATCATTACGATAGTTACCTACAACTATTTTATAACCAATTAAGCAAAATTTATAAATGACCGTTTGATTTTCACACACAAACACTTTTAGAGTTCAGAACTCRTTTAATTAGGCGAATTAAAATGGAGGATGCAATCATTAGAATTAATATAGCTAATGTAAATACTATTGTTTATAGACGACAGTCGATATCAGCTGTTTACTCGCTAGAGGTTAATRGACCATTGGAATTCAGCGAGCTTAATACTATTTTGACATTTCTATTGGATCTCAAACGTCTACGGATGCGATGGGACTGGTCAATCTCACTTGTGCTGGATCAGAGAGTATGTGCAGCCCGTTTATAGAAATCGGATCGTCGTCGTGTTCGTCCCGCCAAGGTGTAGTGAGAATTTTTAATCTCTGTACACAAATGATTAGTTTCAACGTTAATGTTCAATTTACATATAATATAGGTAAGTGCGTGTGGGTACTTATGGCAACAGTGRCACTGATATTATACCTATTTGACAAAATTACCTGTAAATGCGTTCCCGAGGTGTTGAAATATTGATAAAGTGCYACAGCTGGAATCATTGCGACACTGCTGCCAGCGATTATCCAACCGAGCACATTTGCCCAAGCCGGATACACGTAACCTTCGTAAGTCAAGGGTTCGTATCCCAACAGACCGTATACTATAATGAACTATTGCGAAAACAGTTTAAACAAAGAATTCGTATTTTGTTTTCAATTGCACACCAACGAAATGATTATTATGCCGGGTTGCATTAAAATTGATTCATTTTATGGTTCACTATAAAATTGAATGGACCGATCACTGGCCACTAGATCATGAATTAAGGGCAATTTAGCTCACTATAGATTCGTTAAATGTTTAGTGATTGTTTAATGTTTATGCAACCCGACAATGTTTTACTTTACTTACGACTAAGAACAGAGGAGCAGCAAAACGCCAACAAAATCTCCAGTAAACACCAGGATGATGGCCCATCATGTCTTTGATGTCATCACAAAATCTATCGACTCCTTTATAGATTACAATTTCAAAACAAATTTATAATTGAAACTTGTAGATTTTTGTTAAACTTTCACCATTAAAACACAACATATTATTRTTTTATGTACAACCATACAATTATTATAAGGCGTTAAAATGTTTGTTATACTCTATGATGCATACGTATTAAATAGTATACTTTATCTATTAGTTTTATGCATAGGGTTTAAACAACAGTATAATATATTGTAATAAATTAACAATTAAAAGAGGCTGAAGAAAAGAAAATACTTGCATTCGGAGTGTGTTGCTATAGGCGAATTCTCAAAATAAGTCAGATGGATCGTATAACAAATGAAGAAGTTTTTCGAAGAGTAGGAGAGGAAAGAAGTTTCATAAAAGCTTTGAAAATAAGAAGAGCTAAGCTAATTGGACATACACTACGACATAACAGTCTACTAGGTAGGATATAATAGAAAAATCTACAAAAGGAAAGAATAGTCGAGGAAGGCTTCCACTCGAATACATAAGCCAAATAGTTAAGGGTATAGGGTGTGAAACATATTATGAATTAAAGCGTAAAGCGGAGAAGCGTGAAGAATGGAGGAATGTTGCCAATCAGCCCTTTGGCTGTTAACAAAAAAAAAATCAATTATCAGCTTTCTCAACCTATAGGCCACGAATCTTTGTGTATGAGTCACTACAATTATGTTTTTAAAACTGAATGTAATATCTAGTTTAAAAAAATTCATATTTTTTTTATCGAAACTTATGAGGAAATCAATTTCGAATATAATTTTATAGAACTCAGAAGTCAAAAGTATTTAAATTGACTCTGTTATATAAAAATATACACTTGTACCTAAACCTATATGATATTGAAACCTTATTGATAAATGTTTTCCGTTAAGATATTTTATAACTATTATTAATTTTAACGTTTAATATTTTCTATTTTTCATATAATATGATAATAATTGACTGTATATCTGTATTTCATTATTTTAAAATGATAACGATACAAAAAATGCAGTGAGCCCAGCTAAATATTACTATTGTACTTGAGTATAGTTCCGTTAATTCACCTCTCAATAAGATGTAATCTAATTGGAAAACTGTTCATCTGTACTTATCCCTCTATTGTGTAACTCGCAAAACTACCCACTATRCAACGCCTAACAGTGTTAAAACAAACAACGAGACGATTTATCGATGTTTCGATCGAAGTAAATCCAAAAGACTAGGTACCTAATAACATTATATATTTTATATTCTGGTATACGAATAATTTTTTTCGTAAATAAGCTTATTTTTTTKTATTTTTTTTTGGTGCATTAGCCGATTAGCGTGTAATAATATTTACTTTATGGTTGAAACACAATGAGAACTAAACCTACAGGTACTGTGCTTTGYCAAAAATATATATTCGTACCGTAGATCCACGATACAGCTATAGTTTCAAACAACACGGCGATGAGCATCGAGTAACCGGCGGCGTAACGATCGAGTAAATTAAAAAAGTAAAATCCTCCTTGAGCGCATGATGCGAGACCGACCACAAAATAAAGAAGAAACAATAACGCCACAAACACTTCCCGATTACGTCTGATCAATGGAAATTCGTCGCTCATCGCAGTTATGATTGCTTCCGATCCTCCAAACTGAAACGAATATAATAATAATAATTATACTTAAATAATACACGCACAAATAATAAAAGTCTGTAAATTGTTATAATATAATTATATATATATATATATTATATTGTATAAGTATCTTTAATACTTAAACAAACTGATTTGACGAGTACAATTAACTATAGTCTATAATTGAAGATGATGTACAAAACGTGTAATTACTTATCTACTATTAATTGTAGTTATTATAATTTTTTATCGTACCGAACTGTCRAGGCCTAAGTTGAGCAGCATCATGAAGAATATCAAAGCCCAAAACACTGATCCTGGCATGGCTGCTATGGCTGCAGGATAAACGATAAACACTAAACCCGGTCCTTCGGTTGCCACATGTTGAATTTGTCGACCAGAAACATGAGACATATAACCCAAGACAGTGAAAATAACGAAACCGGATAAAAAGCTCGTGATCGAATTGCACATAATCGCCAAGTATGCATCTCTAAATAATCATATATATTAAACACACGTATAGTAATATTCATTGAAAGTGGACATCAGTGACACAACTAGAAAATAATTTCAGCGGGAGGGGTGTTACATTGTTTGAATATATAAATACATAAGAGATAATAATATGCTAGGCGAAAAAAACAAAGCAAAAAACATGATTTCGAGGGGAGTTTATAACCCCCCCCCCCTCGTTGACATATAATAATATATATAATTAGTAATAGGGATTAGCCAAATCTCGGTTTCCGTCTTATCGTAAGGCGCAAAACATTTTTACTAATTTAATAATATTTAATAAGTAAAGACAAAATTACCTAACACACAATTTAATAAGATATATAATTATTGTACGTTATTATATTTTTTTGCATATTTTGCATTCTCTCATTTTATTACATTTGATGATATATATATTATCTTATTTACAATAATTGTTCTCAATAAAAAAAAAAAACTCTTTTTTCCCCGATCTTGGATATTATATATTTTTCATTATCTTGTGCGGTTCGTGGCTCTTAATCGTGGTCTATCGCCGCTGACGATCCCAATTACCTATAATATATTATGTACTTATACAATAAATTATAAAGATCRATATTATATTAATTTTTTCGAAAGTACACCATATAYAGTAGGTTACCTACTCAACACAGGCATACAGCAAAATCACGATACGAAAGGCTGTATAAGACTTATAATTAGTGAATGGCGTCTTACACTTTAAATGGATTAATAAAAACACGTGCATTGATTAGTAATATAGTTGCACACATAGAATATTATGATTTGTGAAGATTTTATGAAATATTATAAATGTAATTTAAAATGTTAATATAGTTATAAACTCATATTGAACAAATTACTAATATAGATAGAGTTAATATTGATAGGTACATCTAAAATTTTAAAGTCACACTAAATTACAATCTAA